TGCTGGGCAGGCAAAAGTGAGCGAGAAGCCTGCCCACGTGGCCAACGGTGCTGCGCTGCGTGACTGCCTCCCGCGTGAGGTCTGCAGGGATGCGGGTGCAGTGAGGGTGCCGGTAGTGGGATGCGCCGCGTGCCCTGAAATTGTAAGAAAGGTTCACAGATGGTGTGACTTCTGGTTTGGACGTGGAAAGATGAGTCAACGTTCTCCAGGGTGAGAGAGACAAGAAAGACGATCCAGAGTCTTAACAAAAGCAAAGAACTCAGCAAGTAGCGAAACACAGGTCGGAGCGGGATGTGTTCAGGGAGCGGATGTTGTGTTCGGCATGACAGGCGCGTCCGGTTGCCAGGAAGTGGCAAAAGATTCATTCTGGAAAGGTAAGGCAGAGCCTTGAGTCAAGGAATATGGGCTTCATTCCAAAGAATAGTTGATGCCTCACAAGCCGGGATGCGCTTTAGAAAGGTTTCTGTGGCGGACGCAGGATGCAGAACAGACAGAGGGAGGAGAGAGAGGAAGCATGGAGGGCAGGGAGAAAGATGACAAGCCGGGGGCCGTGCAAGCACGCTGGGAGAGGAGGGGGCTCCTTGAGAACTTACCGGAATGAAAGACCTTAGACGCGAGGAGGAGTCAGGAATGACCCTGAGGGTTTTCTGCTTTGTGAGTGGATTCATGGCGACACCATCTACAAGGATGGGCGAAAGAGAGAAGTGAGTCAGAGCCGGCGTCCAGTCCACAGCTGGTTGAGCACGCCGGTCTAGAGCACGAGCGAGTTGGATCTGCTGTTACAGACTTGTGAGTCCGTGGCTCTTCGGTGGTGGGTAAAGGCTGGGGGACGACTGAAGTCATCTGGCGAGATCATGTGCATAGGGGAAGTGGGACACAGACCATTGGGAAGATCTACTGCCTGAAGGCTCCCTGCCCTGTCCTCGTGGAGCTGGTAATCTAGAGGGGCGAGCAGGGCTTCAATAACGAGGAAGCCAGGTTGTAAAAATATAAGATTTGGATTCTCGGGGTATAAGCAACAGAAAGCAAGGCTCACTAAACCAGTAGTACTCTATTGGAAGGACATGTAGGGACTGACAAAGGAAAGTGGAAGAACCAGGTCTCAGAAAGGACAAGAATGAGGTCATGTAGGCGGCTTAGTTGGGTAAACTGGTCTGACTCTTGGTTTCTGCTCAGGTCATGATCTCAGGGTCATGAGATCAAGCCCTGCCTTGGGCTCCACGCTCAGCGTGGAATCTGCTTGAGATGCTCTCTCCCTCTTCCTCTGCCCCTCCCCCCATGCACACTCTTTCTAAAATAAATAAATAGAGAAGAGGAGAGGAGAATGCAGACAGAGGGACTTGGTGGAAGAGGCCGGTGCGGAGGCCCTTCCAGGCTCCTGTGCCTGCCCGGAGGGTTCAGTCCCACAGTCTCCAGTCTCCATGACACAGTTGGCACTGGTTGTCTTAGCTTCAGTCACGCACCCACCCCCTTGGCCTGCCAGGATTTTATCCAAAGCAGGAGTGGGAGTTCCTCCGCAAGAAATCTGGGGGCGGTTGCCAGATGTAGGGAAAATTGCCACCGAGCAGGTCACGCTAACAGATGGGAGGTGCGTGAGTCCAGACTGCGGGGTGTAAGACGGTTCTTCCAATAATTTGTGCAGAGCAACCTAGGAAGGAAAGGAGGCCAGAACTGAGAGAGAAAAGTTCAGCTATTAGCAGCTGGAAACAGGTAAGCAAAATGTAAACAATGATGTGAAGAGGGAAAGTAAGCCTCGAGGAAAAGTCTGTTGCCCCCCCCAACACCCCACACCTCCCCGTGCCCAGAGCAAAGAGGAATATGTGGGGTCTCCTTACCCATGGTCATCACCGGCCTCCAGCCGTCTATCCCGATGACCTACGGAGAAGCAGGTATGAAAGGGATGGAGAAAGCACGCCGGGCACAGGAGCCATTTGGCTCATGGCGTGATGACACTTGCGTGAGGTTGTTTGCCGTCTGGTGTGAGTGTCTCCGCAGTATCTGTAACTTGGTTTTGCAGCTGAGATGCCAGTTAGGAATGGGAAGGGCAGGGCTTGCCTTCAGTGCACAGCTCGGGGCATGATGGCGTACTCCGGAGATCACTGGAATTGGTCAGAATTCTCCTAAACTGGTAACAGAAAGGTGTTCATTGGTGCTCCTGGCAAAAGTATCTCTCCTTAGTCTCTTGGGAAGAGACTGTACCACACATTTCTCTCTTGGGTATTTGTTAGTGTGATAAAGGGTATTGCAAAGAAATTTTGTTGAGTAGCTTGTCAAGTCAACCTTTTGTGTTGGAGAAAACCTTTCTATCAGTAACCCCATAGAAAGTCCTTAACCTTCAGCACACCATCACCTCGGTATAATGTCGTCCGCTCTTGTCCTAAAGGCCAGCGCCTAATTACAGGGTGTGCCAGGGTCAGAATATGCTATAGCCACATTTCTGAGGAAAGCCAGCCAAGGAATTCTATTCATGTACACTTGTGATTGCTAATAATACTATTTTTTAAAAATAATTGGCCTACTCAGTATTAATAAATATTAAACTTTCAACTCACAGGGGTCCATCCTAGACCTCTAGCCTGGAAGCAGGATAGCAGTTGTGTCCATCTGTCAGGTACACAGTGGGTTTGCAGGTGCCGGGGAAGGGATCTGCGCACACAGGTGGACGGATCAGTGAGCCCACCTTGTCATTAGGGCCAGTGGGAGGGACACGGGATGGGTGCAGAGAACAGTCCGGAGGTGGAGGAGGGGAAGGAGGAAGGAGCTGATGTGTGCGGAGGCAGAGGAACAGGGGTATTGTTGGGGGCTCCTGGTGAGAATGTGGAGCACTTATTTGGAAGAACCATAAGGGGTTCTGGAAAGACAAATACCAACCATTACTGAGCAGTGTCTGAGAGTTCCACTGAAACCAGAATTAATAAGGATATCCAGGACCCAGCTGTCAGGGTAAGTCGTGCTCTCTGCTGCTGTCAGTCCAGGGAGAGAATGGAAGAGACGGGGGACGGGAAGCATGCATTGCTAGAGATGGGGAGAACACCTCAAACAAGGAATGCATGAGGGGGAGGGTGCTCATGACTATGGCCGTGGCGCTACGGTGGTGGGTGTTTGTGGGTCCAGAGCAGGCACGGAGGAACGTGAAGTCAAGGGATTCATAGATGAATTTGAAGCTCGGGTATAAGGAGTTTGAGACTGTGTTAAATGGAGGTGGAAAGAAAGAAGGTTATCGTCTGTATTCATTTCCGGGGGCTCCCATAACAAATGACCACAAACTGGGGGGACAAAACCACTAACCCCTGGTGGTAGCCAGCAGTCCTTGGCATTTCTCGCTTGTACGTCAGTCACCTGACGCTCTGCCTTCACCTTCACATCGCCACCTTCACTGTCGCTTCTCCCCCGCTAACCCCCCATAAGGCTACTCACTGCTTATTGGAGTAGGGTCCGCCTGGGTTCATCTCTTGAGATCTTCAACTTTAGATCTGCAAAGACCCTTTTTCCAAGTAAGGTCACAGTCGTAGGTTCTGAGTGGACATATCTTTTGGAGGGCCACCATTTGGCCCCTCCACAGTCCTAGAGTGGAATTTAAGGGGGGAACCGTTTCAGAATTAGGGCAGTTCCAATGACAAGACCCAACGTATTGCGATGAGGAGGGGTTGCTAAAAGGAAAGAGAAAGTGGAGATTTTGGTTCAAGAGCTCTGGAGCTGGGCTGTTGGATGGAGTGCATGATGGGATCTGGGAAGACGGCGACTAGGAGGCAGGAGTGCTCCAGAGAAGGGGAAGAGGGATGCTTAGGGGGTAGATGAGTTGCAGTGGGGAAACCATGATCTAGGGGAGGTTCTCAGCTCTGCCTCCGCATTGGAACCACCTGAGGAGCTTTTTAAAAAAGTACCCGCCCCATATATTTCTAATCGGTTGGTCTAGGATAGACCCTGGACAGCTGCATTTTAAAAAAATTCCTGGGGTGGTCTAAAGTGTAAAATGTGACCTTCAGAGAGAAGAACCAAGTGGGAGCCAAGGAATCTTCCCCTCCGTCAAGGCCTGAAGGAGACACATCGGGGAAGGAGACTTCAGAGCTTCCCACCATTGTCTCTTAAAGTCTCCAGCAGAACCAGGAAACTAAGGAGAAGGTTGCATTACCTGGCTTGTGGCTGAGGTCCTGACTGGCCTGGAGTTCGTGCTGTTTCAGGCTTACACCAAGGATGTATTTCCGATGTGTTGCAGCAGAGAAAGACATCAGGACTCGTTTCTAACACACTTGCTATTCCTACAAAACAAGCCTTCTCCCCCACCCTATCCCCCGCAAAAAAAAAAAAAAAAAAAAAAAAGGATTTTCTTAATATGTTTGGAGAAATAGCTTTTGCCAGAAGAATATTCAGTGGCTTGCTTTTGTATTTTTTGAATATGTAATCAACAAATACATTAACAATTTTAAGCAGCATAAAAGGTTATCCAATAAAAGTGATTCTCATTTATCCCCGACCCCCTCACTCTGCCCCCACCTCAAGACCCCTCCCCAGAAGCGCCTTTCTTACCCGTCACGTGTCCTTTCGGTGAACGTGCTGTATCTTGCCTTTTTCCATTCAACACTGTATCTTGGAAATCATTCCTTTTCTGTACACAACAGGTATGCCTATTTCTGTTCATTGGCTCGTCCATCATTTATTTAAGCCATACTGATGAACTTTTAGGTTGTTTCCTCTCTTAAAGCAAACCCGTTAAAGATTGTTTTAAGCAACTAGCATGAGTTGAAGTGGGTCCCTCCCCGGGGTTCTACCGCTGGGGGGGGATGTAGCCCAGGACGCACAGTCTGGGCGTCATCGTACTGGCTGAGAATGAGTTGGGACACCCCCCCCCCCCCCCCCCCCCCGCCCCCGTGAATGCAGGTGGAGCTCGGATGTCACCGAGGAGGGGGGCCTCCCTGGGGGGCTGGGTGTAGGGAAACGACCTCCCTGCTCCCCTTCCCCAGGGGGACCCTGTCTGACAGTGTGCCGCTTCTGCCCCACAGGAGCCTCATGCCGCGGACGCTGGAGAGCCAGATCACGCTGGAGAAGACGCCCAGCTACTTCGTCACGCAGGAGGCCCCCCGGCGCATCTTCAACATGTCCCGGGACACCAAGCTGATCGTGGTCGTGCGGAACCCGGTGACCCGGGCCATCTCGGACTACACACAGACGCTCTCCAAGAAGCCGGACATCCCCACCTTCGAGGGCCTGTCCTTCCGCAACCGCACGCTGGGCCAGGTGGACGAGTCGTGGAGCGCCATCCGCATCGGCATGTACGCGCTGCACCTGGAGAGCTGGCTGCGGTACTTCCCGCTAGCCCAGATCCATTTCGTCAGCGGCGAGCGGCTCATCACCGACCCGGCGGGCGAGCTGGGCCGCGTCCAGGACTTCCTGGGCATCAAGAGGTTCATCACGGACAAGCACTTCTACTTCAACAAGACCAAAGGATTCCCTTGCTTGAGAAAAACAGAATCGAGCCTCCTGCCTCGGTGCCTGGGCAAATCGAAAGGCAGAACTCATGTACAGATTGATCCAGAAGTGATAGACCAGCTCCGGGAATTTTATAGACCTTATAATATTAAATTTTATGAAACAGTTGGACAGGACTTCAGGTGGGAGTGAGCCACCAAGATGTAAGGGTTCTTCCGCTTGTCTCTTCCGTGAGGCTGGCCCCTCGAGCCTGTGATCCTCTTCCCCGAGCAAACCCAACCCAGGCTCCAGCCCCCTTTCCCATCTCGGGTTCCATCGTCCTGGAACTGGGAGGACCAGCTAAGGCCACGAGACCAGGGGGTCCTTGCCACTAGCTCTCCCCAGTCTGTCTAGGCAGAGCTGACCCACTTCTGGCTTGTCCAGCCAGTTCTGAATCATTTCCCTTCAGCCCCTCCGAGGCCTTGGCAAACGGCTTTAAGAACGGATCTTCTGATGACGCTAGATATTATAAGTGGTGATGGTTCTGTTGCTGTGAACACAGCAGTCTGTCCCTGTCACTGTCCGCCCCAGAGCTGACTTGCTAATTCCTAGTGGCATGTACCTCCCCTCTGAGCTTCACTCTCCCCAGCTGCCCCGGGTGGTGGGACAGGAGACCGTCGTCTTCCTCCTGACCTTAGCAGCTCATCGAGACATTGCAGGGCCGGAAGCACCCCCAGTCACTCCCAGCAGACAGACCCTTCGGTGATGAAATAAACCAGAGATTTCAAAGCCTGTGGTCTCAACTCTGCTTGAAGGTTCATGGTCTTTGGAAACCACTTTGTGACCCTCCCTGCTCCCTGTGGACAAAAGCACATTAATTCTGCTGTTACGGGTACTTGACTCACGCGAGCTTTCATGTTCAGCATGCGAAGGAATCATGCTTGTCCATGTGAAATAAATATGGCTCTCTCGTGTCCTTAATGCTGGGCTCTTCACTGTATGTCAGGCCCGGAGCAGGGCTCATTCATCTGGCTCCTCCTGTGCAAGATGAGGGGGGTGTTAGTGCTGAGGATGGTGCCCACAGCTGTGGGATGGGCGTGGTCGGGGAGGGCCCTGAGGGGTGGGCGTGGTCGGGAAGGGCAGCGAGGGTGGGCGGAGTCCAGAGGGTAGTGAGGGATGCAGAACCACTTGGGCAAGGAGCAAGGGGCTGAAGATGAGGAAAAGAGGTTCTTGCTGGCAGAGGCTGCTGCAGAAACCTCATGTGGAGATCTGTGGGGACAGCTCTGAAACACGAGTCTAACTATGACAGCTCTCTGCTTAAGCTTTGTATCTGGAGTGCCAAACTAGAAGCCCAGGGACTGATAGGACATCAGTTGTTTCTGCTTGGCCAGCATGATGTTTTGAAATAATGTCCAACAGTTAAAACTTGGGAGTGTTCATATAAAAATACAGATTTATTTATTATTTTTTTTAATGGGAACGTGAGACACTGAGCCTGCACTCTAGCACGGTAACACCCAGTTGCCGCCTTTGGATGAAGCCTGTGCTCCTGGGTCTTTGGGGCCCCATCGGGCCCACCTCACTGATGGGCATCATCTGCCCGGCCCCTGTTGGGATGGGCGTTCACAGCCCTGCTTTGGGTGTGTGTACTGTGACCTCAGAATAAAGCCCAAACCTTCCAGCACGGTGCCCAAGACCACCCCAGCCCCAGTTTCTGGGATCCTTCCTTCCCTCGTCCTCTGTTCCAACCTCACAGAACAGGCCTTTCTTAGCTCCTCTAAGTCCTCCCGCTTCTGCCTGGACTGCCTCCCCTCCCTACCCTCTTCCCCCACCCCAGGTGTCTAGCTAATGGAAGCTTCTGTAAGATTCCACTCCAGCATCACCTGCTTGATACTCGAGAAGCCTTCCCTAACCACGCTGAGTTATCTGCTCACTCTTCTGCATTCACTTGTTTGCACACATCTCAGTTACAGTTTTTGTCACGCTAGATTAGCATTATTTGTATCAATGTCTGTCTCAGCATAGACCACGGCTCCTCGAGAGTCAAGACTGCATCTGCTGTCCTACAGGAGGCACACACAAAATGACTGATGAATGAGTGTGTGAATGGGTGGAGAGGTGTTGGGGGCCTGGGGGCACCGACAGGAATGTTCCAAGGAACTACACTTCTGGTCATGATTCCCAGGTAGCTCCACGGCACTCACCGGTAAGCCAAGGATTGCCAAACCTCCAGGGGCCACTTGGTCTTTGCTTGGTCAGGCGCAGTGTAAGGTTCCTGAAAATGAGAGTCTGACTTAGAAGACAGGAGGACACAAAAGCTTAAGACCTTAGTTCTGTGTCTTGGCCCATCTTCCTGCGCCAGGCATCTCACAGGAGATCAGCTGAGACCATGGTACCACGGAGCCAGTCCTGGGAGTCTGCCCCCTCTGTGCCTCCCCTGTGGGCACAGGGGAAGTGACATGGAGGCCAGCAGGAGCTGTCACCACCGAGAAGAAGAGGGACCGGTTGTATGTGGACATTAGTGAACTGGCCTTACAAGACCCTCCCCCACCCCCAGAAGTGGTATCCTGTGATCCTGGGCCACGTGGCAGCCAGAGCTGTCCAAAGAGACAGACTTACATTGGGGATACAAAACACCCAAGAAAGAGTAGCATTTCCTTTTTATCCTGACTGGGGGCGTCCACACAGTCAAAAGTGACAAGAGTTCAGAATTTTGCGGGTCTCAGAGTGGCTTTATTCCTCTCCATTCTAAGCATTCCCAGGCTGCCCAGTCTAAGTGCACTCTAAGTACTATTGAATAGATCAGAGTCTATTGTAATTAGCATATCAATCCTTGTATGCAAGTGAAAGAAGCTAAAGTTCCTCAAAAATCCCAGTTTAAATGAGTGAAATCTGGTGTGTACTTGAATCTGATCGGCAAACTTCATTTTTAATCCAGTGCAAATACACCCTCTCGCCCAGGGCACTCCAGGCAAACTTGCACCAGTTCCAGATCAGTAAAGTTTAAACAGATGAAGTCTGACCATTCGATCTGAGACCAAAAGGCCTCCTCTGGCTGCGTGCGTGTGTTTCTAACAGTCCAGAGTGTATGGCAGTTCCACAGTCCGCCAGGCTTCTTCCACTCTGGTGCTCACGATTCACCCCGTATCTGCATCCCCACTCTGCAGCAGAGAGAGGGTCTAGAAATCCGAGACCCTCCCAAGGGAGAACAGAGCCTGCTGACACAGAGCTTGCCGAAGCAAAGGGACCTGTGTCAGGAAGCCTTCAGGTCTGCCCTGACTGGACGCTGTTGGCCAGGGGAAGCTGGAGGCGGGTGAACCACAAGTGGGGCCTCCTATGTAGTTGGCTTGCAGAGCTATGTGGTTTTTTCTGGTTGGTCTTGAGGTGGAAGTGGGGATATCGGAATACGAGTCCTGGCAGGCGTTGAACAGGTCCTGATCATTGTGCTACGGAAACTGTGGGTCAGAGTTCTGCTGTCTGTCTGGCCGGGCTGTTGTCCATTTGAACATTCAGTCTCTTGGGGGGGAAGAGGGGGCACAGGCAGAACGAGCCTCCTCCATATGAGGCTGCAACATCCTTCCTCCTCACGGCTTCCTCGTGTCGTGAGTGGGGCTCCCCAGGCTTGTGCGAGGATAGTAGTACTACTTCCTCTCTCACATCCCTTTGGGTAGAACTCAGTCCTTCTAGGTTGCCGTTCTTTGGTTCCAACCACTTGCTATCTATTATTTGGATCTTACCCTGAACCCCAACACCAGTTCATTCACTCCTCTCTAGGGGCTGATCTTCAAGATATCATGGCAGGCTCCTTCCCATCACCGCATTCTCAACTCAAACGCCTACCCAGAATTGCTTTCCTTCTCCTCTGTCACTGTCAGTCTTTTCATTCTGTTTTCCTTCCATTATGACCTTGACCTCTAGCTGACATTATAGATTTGTTTCTTTGTCTGATGTCTGTCTCCCCTGTGGGTCAGTAACGCTCCATGGACGTGCAGTCCATATCCGTCTTCTTCAGCAGAATGTCCAGCATACAGTAGGTACTTAATAACTGAGTAAATGAACTACTGGGGCTCTGTCCCTAAACACCAGCCTTTGGGCTACTGCTTGACCTCCCGTGAGTGCCATCTTCTGCCTTGGATTTCTTCCGTCTCTGGGGACCTTAATTGCCATTATTAACTTACACAGCATCTTTGTGAGATTTAGAAAAAGTTACTCCCCTTGGCCAATAAATGAGAAAAGGGTGCCCCTTTGGGATGCACACAGCCTTTCAGGTGCACAGTATATATAACAAATGCAGCGTGGACTGCCTCTCAGCCCCTGCTCTCCCCAGCCCCAGCTGCCATCTTTGTGTAGGGCACAGATGGCACAACCATGTGTGGTAGCCCTGACCACCATTCCTCCCGAGCTTGGGATTCCCGAGCTCTGAATGCTCCTGGAATTAGCACTGAGACATCCAAGATGCTTTTGATTCTGCTGGCTGCTGGCCCATCTTTGAGGGGCTCCTCTAACCCTGCTGGTGTCACGGTGCCTCGGGATTGCCCACCCATGATGTGTCATCTCTCCGGCACGTGTGCTCGTGTGTGTGTCTGTCTCTTTCCTGGATCCTCACTCATACTTATTAACACTCAAAACTATTCAACAAGTACTTACTGAGTGTTTGCAAGAGGAGGGTAAGGCGTAGGGAGAGCCAACATTTACGGAGTGCTTTTGGTGTGGCAGCATTGTGTTTTTCATATCTTGGCCCTTCAAAGCAAGTCGGACTTCAAAGTGCAGTATATGCAAGACAGCAGGTATGGCGGTTAAGAGCACGGGCTGCCCGGGGCGGCCAGCTGCCTCAGTCAGAAGAGCATGGTACTCTTGATCTCTGGTCATGGGTTCGAGCCCCACATTGGGTATAAAGATTAAATTTAAAAAATAAACTTAAAAAAAAAAGGAGCCTGAGTTGTAACTGTAGCTCACTACTCTCTTACTCTGGGAACTCAGACAAGCTATTTTATGCTCCTTGTGCTTCTGTTTCCCATCGCTAGAATGTGAGGGTGCCACCTCCTTGAGGGCTACTGCCTGGATGCTGTCCTGGAGCAGTTCACACAAAAGATGCCTCAGAGAGGAAGCAAGTTCAACCATTGAAGCCAATGCAGGAACTGAAGGTGGGTTCCACAAAGACTATAAAGAAGGGCAGGGAGTTCCCTCCTGCTCCTTCTCCCCTTATGCCCAATCTCATGGCTTCTCAGATAAAGTTCAGCTTTTCCATGAGATACCATGGGTATGATCACGTTACATCTCCGGAAACAAGAATGGTATAATGTGGACCACTCCTCAGACTGGGTGGAGACCCTACTAGATGAAGTGTGCAACAAGGAATCATTGATGGGATTTCGTTCACTCCATCTAATTTACTGAACGCGTTAGGCAGACGAGCCAGGCACGGAGGATACACAGTTGTGTTAGTCTTCCTCTCAGCTCCCCTCGTGGAGCTCCCAGACTAACCTGTGACCA